CCCCCCGAAAACTTCTCTCACTCACTTCATTATCCCCACCAGATTCCTATCCCCCATTTCCTTGCCTATACCCCTTATTATTATATTGTTATATATAAACTATGTTTGCCTACACTTAGAACCTTCTTGTACAATCTCAAACATTATATATCCATTCACCTCTCATACATTTTTACGAATCTTCAATGAGCATATATGTAAAACTAACCTTTGCTGTTCAACATACCCTTCTGTATATTTGTTAATTTGCTGATCGTCGTCTCTGGAACCATCTTATCTTTGTAAGACAATAAAACAATTGTAAAAGAAAATGTTTACAACATCAGAAAAAAAGAATAAGAAAAAACAATATTTCTTATGGGCGGCTTAGCTTGTATCAGTGTTAGAGGAGTGGGTAAATTGTTGCTTGTAAAATAGTTAAAAATATACTCCTCCAACAAAGTACTGTATAGTATACAAAGCACAGAGTAAAGTTACTTAGGATATGACATTTAGACTCTCTTTATGGGCACTTCTTAGATTTTGAAATAAAGATACTTCTGTGCTATCTGCTGTTTAATTTAGTTCTAAAAAGTGACCCTTGTTACATATTTTTTGAAGGACTTGGAAATAATCTGTAGTAAAAAGCTTCTTTTTTCAGCAAATTATATTTTTTTCTTTGTGTTGAAGTTTCTTCAGAAAAATACAGTGGGGACATGGCAATGGCTTTATGGTATTTAGCTTATATTAGTCATGTGGTATTTTTAATAGGATTACTTGGAGTACTTTGCACGTAATGAGTGTGCACATCATAAATGTACTGTAAGATAACAAAGCAGAGCATTTTTTAAATTCTACAAGACGCTGTACATTGTAATGTGAATGAAGGAGCTGTGTCTCCATGATGTAGACTTCAGCATAGCAGTGAGAAAAGCTTGTAACAATAATGCTGACCTATTAATCAGCTCTTTCTGTGCAGTGTAGTGTGAAATATGCAAGCTGACTTTTAGTTGTTTGCTATTCAGTTACTGTGCGTCCTTCTCTAAATCAGTTGGGACACAGCAGCACATTTACAGAGAAGCAATGTTTATAGAATTGCTGTCCCATGTATTTTAATGAGCAGATTTATATAATTAATGAGAAGCAAAATATTGCTATTACATAAAATGTTGTACAGTACTTTTTAAGCAGGAAAGATATAATGATTGATCTTTAGGGCCAAAATGTATGGTGTACTTCATAAGGTTTTAATCACATGGCTGATTATTTGAGTAATAGGAGCATTTACAATCTTATTAACAGATGTGTTCTTTTCTTTCTAGCGAACCTTAAACTGCAACAACACATATATGGATGATTCTAACATGTACAGGACGGGTATTGGAGAGTCCACAGTCTCTTTGGAGAGCACCGTCAGGTCAGCCAAGAGCCACAATAGCTACCTTGCTTTTATCCTCAGGTAATGCGGTGGTGGGTGCATGGCGCTTGGCTATCTTTGTTTCAAGTATTTCACCAAAATACATTTTTATGAGAATACACTTTGCAATATTCCCAAAGTACTGAATGTCAGTACAGAAGCATCATTTTGTTTTCTGCTGCCATTAGACGTTCTCATGCTTCAGTGAGCCCAGTGTGTTCAGGTAAAATTGCAGATATTGCTATCAAATCTTTCAGCATTTAACAAAAGGATAAATTCTGCTTTCTGCATGGCTAGCTTTCCTACCGCTTGGCACTACAGCAACGTAAATCTAACACAAGCTCATCCTTCTTTCTGCCCTAATGTACAGAGAGGTTGACTTATAAATACTCTAAAAAGGGAAACGGGGCTGGTGCCCTTAGGAACCAATTTGTTTTTCTTATCTAGCCTGCACTGTAAAGTTACACAATGCATCCAGGTAGTTGCTATAAGAAATACCACTACTAATGTCTCCAAGTTGATTTTCTAAGCTGTGATTTGACATAATTTATTTCCATTTTCTTTTTTTTTTTTTTTTACAATTGTTCTCATACACATTAGGGCTGACCTTAGACATGGCAAATGGTCCGGATAATAATCAAAATAAATAGATAAAAGGTCTTTGTAGACCCCCTAATATAAACATGCTCACTTATCGATCCATGTGTAAATGATCTATCCCAATCCAAAGGACTTCTCCGATCACAGCACAGCGAGGTTGGTTGTTAGAGTTAGTGATGGGTTCCCCATAGACTCCCCATGAAACGTTTACATTTATAGAGGTATCCTGTAATAGTTACTATATATCTAAATTAATTATTTGTAAAGACAGAGCAGAAATCCTACTTAAACAAATGTTTTTACGTTCTTTATTATTGGAATATTCTTGTTCTATTACTGCATCCATTATGATCATATATGTATCCAGGTTGAGTTTTAACTGAAGGCATATATGTTGTTTCTGTAATATTAAACCTGTAAAGTCATACACAGAGTACACAACTGTCTGTGGGTGTAAGGAATGGAGAGCTAAGGAATAGCGTTCTTTTACTTGAACTGGGTAGCCTAGTTTTGTTGAAGCTTGTCTAGCCCTGGAGCTGTTTTTGCACCAAATACAGAACAGTATTGTAGTGGCATCACATCCAGATATCCCACAAGCACATGGATCAAAATCAAATAATTGCAGCAGAAAACTGTTTTTCAACTAATCATCTGTATAAAATACATCTCCCTTCCTTCCTTTGCTGTTTACTTGTGTTCAGTAATGCAGTGCATGTCCGGCTTTATCTGCATTCTGTCATAATAAATGATGGGTATTTCTTGTTGTGACTAAGCAATGCATTTTATATAATTGTACCATTTCCTGATAAAGGGATGAAGCTGCTCAGAAGCTCAGTATGTCTTCAGGACAGACCCGCGCTGGTGTTACAGAGGTGGACTCCGCACATTTCCATAGAAACCGAACACGCTCCCATGGTGAGGCTGCTGGCCTAGTCTATTTTAAATTTAAGAAATAGATATGCTTGTTTTTCTTGATACTGATTGTACACCTTTTAGGTGCAGGACATGACTCGGACTCGGACAGCGAGTTATCTCTCGATGAGCATAGCAGCTCTTACGCTTCTTCACGCTCTTCTGATAGTGAAGATGAAGAAATTGAAACAGAGCAGCAGTGGAAACCAACCAGCCCTAAAAACAATGAGCGTGGACCTGTGCATAGTACACCTAAAGGTAATTTACAGTTAAAAGCTTATAACTGTTTTCTCGGATATCAGTTACTTAAATCTATAGGCACTATCCACAGCTACTTTGCGCATTTGTTGCCAGATACCATGGACTCTAGTAAAAATGCCCATAAACAGCCAGATTTGATGGGCCTTTAACCACCTGCTGTCTTACATCACTGCCTGCATTCAGTGTCACTCTCCGGTACAGAAACCGGAGAGAAGCTGGTGAAGCAGCTTCTCTGGGGGTCCCTAGGTGACATTAGGGGTCTTAAAGACCCCTGATGTCTCAATAAAGAGGACCTGTCACGGCAAATTGGCTAATAAAAAATAAAAAAAATGTAAGTCCCCCGCCCCCACATGCACACACAAACATGCGTCGAGTCCACCTACGTGCGAAAACGCCGATTACATCCATTGCGCCGCACATGTTACATATCGCCGCTAACATCGGAGTGAGAGCAATAATTCTAGGGCCATAAATCACTGATAACACTAAACTGATGAGCGGTAAAAGCTTTTAAAGCGTCGGCTATGGTCAATTTTGAGTATGGTAGTTTTTTGCAATTTTAGCGGGTGCGCGCAATTTTAAAGCTTGACATTTTTGGTGTATATTTACCCGTCTTTTATATTTTACCAAAAAATTGGGTAATAATAAATGTTTTATGACATAACGTAGGGAGAACAGGGTTTTTTTCAAAATGTTCGGTACTTTTTTCATTATATAGTTAAAAAAAACCCTGTAGTGGTGATTAAATACCACCAAAAAAAAGCTCTAGCTGTCCCCAAAAAATGGTATAAAATTAATTTCAGTACAGCGTTGCATGACAGAATAAATGTCAGTCAAAGTACCGCAGCGCTGAATACTGAAAAATGGCCTGGACAGAAAGGGGGTGTAAACACCCCGGTCAGCAAGTGGTTAATTGAAGTTTCTAGTGTCAGGCATTGCTTGCAAAATGGTGCACAGAAATCATCTCCAGGAAACATCACAGGCAACAGGCAAATAGCTGTTACAAATCTGTTAAAAACCTTGCTCAGACTAGTGGGAAGGGGAGATGGAGTAGATGTGGATAGCACACTAACATTTCCATTTACTAAAAAAGAAAAGTAGTAGTGGAAACTCCCTCTATAACACATATAATGCACATGCCCTTGACGTGCACATGCCCTTAATAGTGCAATGCACATACAAGGTGTGTCCAGAATATAATGAGAATGAAGTTCCTAGACTCGAGAAGGGCTCTGCAAAGGGAGAAGCTGGCTGAGGCCATTTGGGGTGGGGTGCTAGGTATATATAGTGTGTGGACGCATTGATGTCTGTTCTCAACCGTGATTGACGGCTTGCTATCAGAATGATTACACAGGAAACGGGAATTACCAAGTCAATTGTTCATGAAATCGTGATTCAGGATTTGAACATAAGAAAAGTGTGTGCAAAACTTGTTTCAAAGAACTTATCACCTGATCCGAAGGAACACTGTCAACTCGTTTGCCAAGACCTGTTGGCCCCTTTGGAAAGAGAGCCTGATTTTTTGAGTCGAGTGATCACGGGAGATGAATCCTGGGTCTTTGAGTACGATCCCAAGACGAAGATACAAAGTTCAGAATGGCACACACCCTCGTCACCTCGCCCCCAAGAAAGCTTGGATGAGCAAATCAAAAGTCAAATCAATGGTCATTGTTTTTTTTGATTCACGTGAACTTGTCTATAAAAAATTAGTACATACTGGTCAAAGTGTGAATCAAAGATTTTACCTGGAAGTTCTTGGTCACTTGATACAAAGAGTTTTTCCTGTGCGTCCTGTGATCGGCTTAACTTGGATCTTTCATCACGACAACAGTCACAGTGCTTTGGCTGTCAGAGTTTCTGGCTGAAAAACACATTGCGGTGCCTCCCCATCCACTCTACAGCCCTGACTTGGCTCCTTGCAACTTTTTCATATTCCCAAAGCTGAAGAATAGTTTGAAAGGACACCATTTTGGTAGTGTGGATAATATCGGAAGAGCCACTACGCAGGCTCTGAACGCCATCCCACTTGAAGATTTCCAGGGATGCTATGAAGAATGGAAAAATTACTGGGAGCATTCTGTACACTCACAAGGTGCATAATTTCATGGAGACGATGTTCAATTGTAACATTTTTCAATAAAAGAATTTTAAAATATCATTCTCATTCATTTCTGGACACACCTGGTATACAGTATTTTCTTTGACTTGCAGCAATAGCACCTAGTAAAAAAGGCTTACTGATCTGCAAATTCTAGCACTGTTTTATAAGAAAGAAGCTAAATAAAAATTGTAACTGTATTTGTTTTCCTGCAGTGGATTCTGTACCAAATCACGTGAAGCCATACTGGCCTGCTGACTGCATTACAGCCAGTGACAGTGAGGATCAAGCTGGGAAAAGTACGCTGAAAGTAGAGACCAAAGTAAATGTGGAACTTCATAATGAAAACAAGGTTAATCACTGCGGAGAGATACCTCATGACAAGGAGAACGAAGCACAGACTAAGGACGGCAAGATGGTCAACAATCACAACAATCAACAGCCAGAACTAAGAAAAGGTAGATCCTAACAATTGTTACAGCAATATTGAATAGTGTCTCATAGGATTGTGTTATTGGATTTGAACATGGATTAAAAAGTGCCCATCTACAAAATAATATCCAAAGACCACTGAACATACGATTATGCTCTATATCCGTGGTTTTCATCCTCCCCCAGCTCAGCACTGTCAGTTCTTGCGCTGAGCAGCCATTCAAAATATGCTGCCCGGTGTTGAGTGTCAGCTTGAGGTGGGGTGGGCTGGGGTTATGGCTGTGAGGAAGTTCCATCCATACGTGTATTACATACAGCTCCCTCGCGTGCCCTGTAGAGGCGACTGGACCAGAGTGACGTCACATTCTGGCTCCCGGCACCTCTACAGGGCGCGAAAGGGAGCTGTACAAGCAATGCACATATGGATGGAGCTCCGTCACAGCACAACAGCCCACGCTGGACCCCAGGCTGAGGATCCACTCCAGTTCTCGTAAGGTAAGGAGACTGGGTGGATTTCACACAAAAAGTGCAATCACACCTACTCCGCCTTCTGGTGCGGGAGGTGCGTTGCGTTGTCATTCATTTGAATGGCACCCCAAATGCACTTCCCGGCCACAGTTCGATTGCCAGCACCGTAATGCGCGGTACCACAATGCTGTGCATCCAGTGCCACTGGGGCCGTGACTTAGTTACCAAGGGCAAATGTGGGTGCTGAGATTACACAGGTTGAGAACCACTGTCCTATATGATAATGATTCCCTAAAGGGTATATTTATAAAGCTATACATGTGACATCCAGCAAACATTGACAGCAGATTAATTAATCATTGTAATTTAGAAAGCATACACCAGGATAATTCATCTGGAGCTTTTTTTTCATCTGGATCATGTTTGATAAATGTCCTATTCACTGCTTTATAAATACACCCTTATAGTCTGTATATCTCTTGCATTACTATAATTGGAAAGTCTGCATGCAGTCTTAGTATATTTTACACAGGTGTCAGAATCCTTGATTTTTTCCTGCATTTTGTAAACAGATTATGTTTATTGGATTCCTATTTTTATAAATCCATTCACAATTTTTGCATAATGTAATTTTAGCTTTTTTTATGAGGTGGATGGAAAGATTTGCCGCAAACACACATTCAGTCCAATTTATTTAACGTATACAAGTAATATGTAAGATAGATAGGTAAGCTCACGAACATTGGCTGATGTTTTTTTTTCCTTATGTCTCCATAACCTACAGTGAGCTGTAATGGCACAAGAAATTAGGTCACACTTCTATACAAAATTTGCTTCTACGTTTGTACATACCAAATGGGCTAAGAGTTGAGACTTGTTCATCGGAATCCGTTGACAACTTCATAACCATTAATAAAACTTATAACAATCCAACTATAACTCTCAGACAATGATGAATGTGTTCCTTTTAGAGCTGTCCTGCCCATTTTATTTACTTAATGAGTCAAGTTTACTCAGCAGAACAAAGGCTATACGTGACTTGTTCACACTTTGTCACCCACAGTCTATTGTACAATGTATTTCTAGTGATGATGTGCAATCATATAATATACGCAAGTCTTATCCGTGTCATGCTGTAAATTCAGTCTTCTTATTCTAAAGATATCTATGATGGAAATGGTGCTGAGTGTGTTAATCCCTTTCAGTGTGGTATTCCATGATTGATAACATTTGTTACTGTACCACATATACTCAGGTTCATATTGTTGTGTTCTGTTCAGTTATGACAGCAAAGGTATGCAGATCAAACAATGCATGCACAATTCAGGCCACACATTTTTTTTTTCTAAATTGCAATAAACTTTATGGAACTAGAGAAGTGAGCAAATGAGCACACAAGCCAGGTCTTTCAGACATCCTTCCCCCATTCACTGTGACTACTGACGCATTTGCCTGTATTGCAGGTGAAACGTATTTGAGATGAGTCACACTGAATGGGTTAGAATATGACCTGGCTTGCTTGCTTGCTCTTTTCCTCAGTTATCTGGTGCCAGTAAAGTGTATCACAATTAAGAAACAAAGAGTGGGGTGCAGCCTGAATTTTGCATTCAGTGTTGGTAGAAGGAGGATCCTGGAAGGCCAAACACCCATGGCCAGTGTGCTGTTCAAAGAGTGCATGGAGTGGTGCAATTTGAAAAGAGGTGATAACCATGCTGCAACAGTACAGAAAGCCTAAAAACCATATCATATATATACCATATACATCGTATATAAAAACACCTTTTGTAACTATATTCTTGTCTTGAATGCATTCAGCAGTGTAGATAATGGTAACACTGCAAGAATTGGGCAATGGTAGGGTATGATGTCCTTTTTATATGTGATGTTTAAATGTTTTTTAATGTTTCATTTAACAGGTATTCTAAAAAATAAAGTCACATACCCTCCTCCTTTGACAGACAAAAATCTGAAAAACCGTCTACGCGAGAAATTAGACTATAATCAAAGCACTATTTCATCAAAGACTTCCTCTTTATGTTCAAACGATGGCATCCGTCCAGTTACAGACACAGCGATAGCCTTAAAAAATGCACGCAGAGATCATTCTCGAGAGCAAGTCAATGGCATGGCGATGAGTGTACAGGTTGGACCTACAAATGGAGAGGCTTCAGACTCTGAGTAAGTATGCTATAGAAATATATTCAATAGGGATGTATCAACTATAAAATAGGACAATGTGCATTGAGCCATGTATTTCATATAGTATCAGGGCAAATTGGTATTCACGTTAATTGCCAGCATGATTAAATAATTTAGAATTTCAACTCTTAAATCATGGCTCGGAGATGGCTTTCCCTGAAGAAACTCTATCACTTTAAGAAAAAAAAAAAAGCTACTATAACCTATGAAGTACAATCACCCCCATGCCCATGCACATATCTATATGAGCTTTCAGTAACTCCTGCTTCACCTGAATGCCAGGCTCTTCTGACAGGAACATTTCTGGTTCATATTAGAGCTTATTATTTATTTATTTATTTATTTATTACAGGTATTTCTAGAGAACTGACAATTTATGCAGTGGTTTACACGCTGCACATTCACATCAAGGTCCTATCTCACGTACATACTAGAGCCGATTTAGACTGGAGCCAGTTACCTTCCCAGTATGTCTTTGGAATGTGGGAGGAAACCAGGGTACCTGGAGAAAACCCATGCAAGCACAGGGAGAACATGCAGACTCCATACAGATAGTGTCCTGACCAGGGTACGAACTGGGACCCCCAGTGGTAACCCCTAAGCCACTGTACTGCCCTGCTTCCTCCAGGTGCCTTCCTCTTCCCCTACATTCCAATTAGATCATCATTATGATGTGCTCCATCACTGGCTCTCTGGACAATTGGAATGTGCGAAAGAAGGTGGGCAAGCCCCATCGTTACAGGACGTTCAGTATCTTTGCTGGCTGGGATTTGGCAATAACTGCTCTTAGAGCTGCTGTGGATACCTGCACTTTATGCCTCCCAGCAGCTTTTTGTTTTTCCATAGTGACAGAGTCCAAGTTCACTTAAATCAGTAAATGATGTTCAATTTTTTATGCTTGTATACTGTTAATAAAAAATGTGAACTTTTAGTTTGTCAAACTAGTCAATAAGCTGGAGGTAAATCTGAAAGCTCAGTTTTGGATGCCCCCTTTTGAGCAGATTCGTATTTAGAACAGGACTTTCCTGCTGAGTCCTATATGCACATAGAGCCTCCTGTTATGTGTTCCCATTCTGGAAAGGAGAGGATTACTCGGCTGGAGTAAATACTGGACAACTAGTATACAGATCTATGGGAGAAGGTTCTATTGAAGTGTATGTCGAATTCCTTCTTTTATTGTAACTGCTTTCTTAGTGGTTGCCAAAAAGTGTGTGCAGTGCTCGATGAACTGGTTTACCCAACCCCGCTGCCTCATTTGTAAAGTAAAATGATAACAGATACATTTTGTCATTTCAACAATGTAATTACTTTTCAACAAATGTTCCCCAGGTTTCTGATAGAAAGTGTAATACTGCTATTAAGTATGTTGCATTGATATACTACTGCTCATTTTCCTCTGGAGGGCTGCTGTTAACCCTAATGAGGCTACTGTCCACCACAGGAGCCTGACGCTGCCGGAGTCCCTGAAGTGGTGCTAGTTTTAGGGAATTGTCATACAAAGGATTGTACCTGCACAGAACTGGCACTGTGTGTGGGCAGTTGTTGTGATAAACAGCAGCCATTTTAAGAGCTCCATTTACAGAAAAGTTGTCCTATCATTTTGTAGGGCTACCAGCTACCTGATTCCTCAGGAGCAGAAAGTCAGATTTTAACTTATGGCTAAAGTTATCAAAAGCAATGAAATTGGTAAACCCCACATGTTACCTTACCTTTGCATGAGTAGATGAATGCACTCAAATGGTGGCAGGGGTCTTTCCGCATGCTAGATATGAGTATTTCTTGGACTTCTCTCCTCTGTTGTGACATGCATGACATGTAAACTAACATTCAATAATGTATGACATTTGTCTAACCCCAATCCTGCATGCTCCCTTCTTTCCATGAACAGCGGCAGTAATGAAACTTCAATTTGAATCATCAGGAAATCGTGAAGGCTGTTATAGTCCAGGAATCCCTCGTCCGAAAGCTTGTGACTTCCCGAACATCTGGGATTATACAGAGGAACGCAACTGTGGTGGTCGAGGATGTATCATTGCTAATGCAATTACCTTATTTAGCAGACTTGTGACTGCTTCATGATATAAATAAGAAACTAGAGGGCTGTGCTATCGGGATCCATGATCAATGAACGCACCCAGTGCCAAATATGAGAGCATAAGCAAGACTCCATTCCCCTGGATGAAAAGGACATCACAAGAGAGGACACAGCAGAAAGTAACTGATGGATTCACAGGTCCATACATTGCAAAGGAGACTGTTTCGTGGTGTAGTCTAAGCTAAGTGACTCAAGAATTCATGTAAATACCATGGTTCTACTATAGTAAAATCGGCACATGTACAGGCGGTCCTCCATCTCTGGGTCCAGCGGCGCTGATTTGCTTGTGTTCTGTCACAATGTGACCTTCCGGCCTACTGAACAATGCACACCACGAAATGACACCAAGTGCCCTTCATTCACTTCACCAACTTATGTGTCTTAAAAATCAATGTACAAATCTGTAAAATGATATGGTTGTAGATATTTTATATATTTTTACAGGGACTCTTAAACAAAGCTTTTTTTCTTTTGTAAATTTTACTACTAGTTTTGTTTATTTGATACTCACACAGACCTGCTGAAAACAAATATTTTTATACTACAAAGATTGCACGTTACTTGAATTTTAACTTTTGTTGCAAAAAAAAATCATTTTTTTTATTCCAGAAACTTGCGTCCAAGTTCACACATGGAAAGGAATCAGATAGTTGTGCTGCCAAGTAATTGATTGTACATTCTACCCCTACACTTGAGATTTCCTCTACAACACTGAATATATCCCCTTTGCCTGCTGAGAATCTCCTGCCAGCTTTCTGTCCATTGCCAGAACTAAGATTCTACATGCGGAGCATCTTGTTTTCTAAATATGTGCCTTGCTATATTATCATTTTATATATAACAGAATACCCCAAATATGTTCACAGAAATGTACTCTTGGGAATATATTTTTTTCTCATGGTATAAGGAGTAGCGTAAATTGTTTCTTAAAAAACACACCTTTTCAACTTCAGTTCCCATACAGTATCAACAATCAAGAAAAAGAGATCTTTTAAAAACTGTCATTGTTTTCAGTGTAAAGTTGTATATATTGTGTTGACAGACAGCAGACACCGGTAAAGGTCCTGAAGGCAGTACACAGAAAGCTCTGTTGTTCCTCACTCTGTAGTTGGGTGAATGTATTCTTCATTTATTTCTCAGCAACAGAATGACTACTACAGCATTAACAAGAGTTAAATCCTAAAAATGCATTCATGTACGTTAACTATTAATAAAAATGTATCTTATTATTATACAGTATTTTTATAGCGCCAATAGTTTGCAGAGCGCTTTACAATATAAGATTATTAGTTAGTGTATCACTCGACTGTAGACCCTCAAATCATCTCTGAATTGGTGCTGACACTGTCCTTCCTTCTACTGGGTGGCCACCACTCCAAGCTCACTCCTGTGATGGACTACAATCTCACATTTAGTTTACTAATTTGTATTGAAATTATAGTATATCATGGGAGTGTGCTTGGAGCGGTGACTATGCAACACACACGGGGACCATGGTGGAACAAAAGTAGACACTAACCAGAAGAAAGGACAAATTCGGGGATAATTTGAAGACTTACAGCCAAGTGATTAACAGTTTTGTTATTAGTTAAGGTACTTGAATTCATTTTTAAGATTCAACTCCTGAGTTTAGTGTCACTTTAAATAAACCTATTGCCTGAGTGATAGCATAGTAGGTAGGTTGTAATACATCTGATCTGCAAACACTCTCAGCTCAAGCACACTCAACCAGAAATGATACACAGATAGCTCAGTTGTTCCTCACACTGAGGTTGGTTAAATTATTTTTCATTTATTTCTCAGCAATACAATGACTACTACACCATTAAGTTCACCCATTTCCTGAGTGATAGCATGGTAGGAGCTAAGGGTAGTAGGTAGGTAGTAATATGTCTGATCTGCAGACACTTTCTGCATCCTTAACCTGAATAATTAATGATCTAGAAGCATTTGTGGTTACAGTGATAGTATTTCCAGAAACAAGGACAAGGACTACTACTAATTGCACTGAGTGAAAGACAGCTAACACTGGTTTAAAAGTGCCTTATATCAAGTCCCTAGCTTTGTGGTTTCTCATTTGAATACACAATTTGTTCTGCAGCATTTTATTTTCATCAGTTGTTAAATCACAGGTCTCTATTTAAGAATTCTGATTATAGAAAAGAGATGAAAGTTTGACAATCTCTGATTTTGTTTGTACCAACTTCATTAACTGTTCCTATCACACATCTTCAAAGTCGTTACAATAATAACTGGCATGTGTATACAGGTCTCATGACAGATAAAGGCTATATGTATATGTTTTTATTACCATCCCTGTAAATCCTTCTGTTCCTTTTTTTTTTTAAAGTGTTACATTTTGGCTGGGTTTTTGTTAAAAAATACTTTTTATGACAAACTTTTATGGCAAAGAATAGACACTGGATTTTTTTTACATGTGTATTTATTAATGTACAAACACTGGAGAAAACCGTACTGAGAAGATGGCTTGGTAAATTAAAATTTTCAGATTGTATCATTTTGTCATTGAATTTTTTTAAATGAATCACCGTTTTTAAAGATACTGTATATGTGACATTTGTAATTGTATGCAACATTGATATATTGAAATTAGCATTAATCTGTGAGCCTGGACGGAGTCAGCAGTTGGTGGAAAGGTTGTTGGCCAAATCTAAAGAGTTAGTGCGGCCATAGCTGAGAACATTTATCTGATATGAAGATTTGATAATATGAACAAAATCTACTTAATAGTCAAAATCTTAATGCTTTAAAACACAACAGTTATGCGAGCATCCAGCCATTTTCAATGGTTTCATTTGTCCTCCAGATCACATATGCTGGTGAGGTCAGACATTTTTATCAGATACCACTGCAACTCATTTGCAAACCACCTTGTGAAATACGTGTCATTGATTATGTCCCTTGTTAAGTCGTTAGCCAATAATGATTTTCCATCCTGTTGGAAAGTATAGCTGGCCATATGCTAACAGATTTTGTTAAATATATCTAAAGGTGCCCACACACCTTACAATTATCTGCAGATTTTCTGTGGTCAGATGGAAAAAGTGCAACAGATTGGCCCAGGTGGAGATTACTCCATCCACACAGTTAAGTGTAGATGGAGGAATGTGTTGCACCTTTTCCATCTGACCACAGAAAATCTGCAGATAAATTGTAAGGTGTGTGGGCAGCTTAAGGGTGCCCACACACCTTACGATAATTGCGGGAAATCCCTCGATCGTACGATTATCGTAAGGTGTGTGGAAGCCGTGCGACCTCTACTACTGTAAGTTCGCACGACTTTTAACTTACGAACATGTTTGAAAACCCGCCGAGCATCGTACGATGTTCGGCGGGTGTGTAGCATGTTCGTAAGATAAAAGCCGGACAGGCCGGTGTGCGCAAGCGCACACTGCCCGTTCGGCATTGCGGTCGTTGGAAGCCCGCCCCTCAGGGGGGTGCAAGTTGCGATCATCGCAAGTATGATCTGCCTATGCAAGATAGGCAGATTGTACGTTTTTTTAAGTACCTTACAACCATCGCAAGACAAAAGTCTTGAGGTGGTTGTAAGGTGTGTGCCCAGCATTACAGATTCCTCCATCCACACTAAACAGCATGGATGGACGCCGGCTGCTATTGCATTTTCACAGCCGGCATCCACCACTGTCATAATACGAGTTGAGCTGATTGGCTGTAATCACAGTTGGGCTGACATTTTTTGGCCCAGCTACTTTAACAAAAGTTAACTGAGCAATTGACTTTTGTTGAGCTGGCAGGCCACCCACTGTTTCCGATTTCTGTAAATCGGACAAGATGCTAACAGCATGTGGCCAGCTTTAGTTTGTTCGATATTCGCCAGCTCATCAGTCTTTTTGTTTTAGTAATGAACCAAACTAGCTATAGCTTATCATTGTTGAATCTGTGTCAGATGGAAAGCTATTCCATCTATAGTCAACCTTTTTTACTGTCTGTGTCCCATTGAGAAGAATTTTGTCTCCCAGAGACGCAGCAAAAAGTGAGACAAAATCTGATCAAGATTTAGAGAATTCCTCTCTTTGTTATGATTGGAACAGATAACTCCATTGAGTAAGGGTGCCCATACACTCACTGAATTTCAGCCATTTTTTGAGGAACCGGCTGCAAATTTGCACAGTGGGTACCGCTGTCAGTCAGCATGATCAAACGAAGCTGGTCAGAAAACCTTCGTTTGAGTTGGCAGCCAATGAGAATACCCGGTTAGGTATTCTGACAGCGGCCGCTGTCAAAATCCAATGCAAACAGCGGGATTCCTCGACTGACACACTCCTCAGTGTTGATGGAGGAATCTGCTCTGGTTTTCTCGTTCAGCCTGCGAGTTGAACATGAAAAATAGATGACTGTATGGCCAGCATAAGATTTCCCCTCGAATCTTGATTTTAGTGACCACTCTAAAAAGTTCTATTTGCCCTCACTTTCTGTTTTGGGGACTGTCTACCTGAGGAGGACACAGCAATAAAACCCTGACGAGGTTTTTATATTTCCTACTCTATCCAAAAACGTTGAACTCTTTCACCTGAAGCAAGTGAGCATGTGATTGGTGATTTTCCAATCTGAATATCACTTTTAAGGTGCCCATACACTGCACGATTCTCGTACGAGAATCGCTGGAAATCCCGCGATCGTACGAGAATCGTGCAGTGTATGGAAGGCATGCGACCGTTTCTACTGTACGGTCGCACGTCTTCCATCAAACCAGCATGTTTGAAAACCCGCCGGGAATCGTACGATTCTCGGCGAGTTGGTGGCCTGCTGGTTCGACAACTACCGAACGGGCCGTTGTGCGCACGTGCACACTGCCCGTTTGCAGTCAGCGTAAGCCCGCCCCTCATTACAGTCATCGCAAGCCCGCCCCTCAGGGGGCGTGGCTTGCGATGATCGAGAGTGCGATCTGCCCGTCCAAGATGGGCAGATCGTACGTTTTTTTAATCCCTTTACAACCATCGCAAGACTAAGGTCTTGCGATGGTTGTACAGTGTATGGCCACCTTTACGAATGCTGGGATCTCCAGATACCTGGGCGCAGGTGAAAATGCATAATGCTAAAAGTTGATTGAATTATACGTTGGAGGATCTGTACCATACAAACTATCACATATATTAATAATATATTATATGGTGAGCTCAGTGCTTTGAGTGTCAGATCCATAGACTTTGGGTGACTGAAGAGTGGATGATACCACTTACCATTAATATTCAAAGTCCATAATTTCTTATGAAAAATGCTCAGCTTAAGCTGGCCATGCACTGGTAGATTTGAACGGTCATCTCAGAACATTCAATAATGCCATCAGAGACTTGTAGAATGTCAAAACTGTAGTTTGATTTTGTAAATGGAAGTTATTAGAACTTCTGGAGCAGGATGGAACATTTTTCTTGAATAAACTACCGGTGTATGGCCAGCTTTAGATGCGGCATTCTGCATTTTGTGCTTTAATCCATGGACACACTTGGATGGCATCAGCCAAATGGCTTGCTTGTGGCTTTGGAACAAAATGTAACTCCTTCACCCCTGGGCAGGCACATGGCATTTCTGCACTGCTGTTAAATTGCTACAGTAATATGATGCAGGTAAGTGAAGTCAACGTAAAATCCTATGTTTGA